GTCACATCGTTAGACTCAACAATATCGCTTAAGAATTAAATGCTAACGGAGTTGGACTAATTTGCAGCGCTCCCATACCATGGCCGTCAAAAGTTCCGGAATTCGGAACTTTTTTATTTCAATTTATCCCATTCCATGACCGTAAAACGTTCCGGGATTCTATTTAGATTTTTTCAAAAGCCCCGAGAAAGTTACGAAGAATGCCAAAGATCCGGAACCTTTCAAGAATTTCAAAAGTTCCGAGAAAAATTCTGGAAAGCAGGGCCGGATTTACCTACTTGCCGACCATGGGCCGCCCGTATTTTCCCGTCCCTTTCTCATTCGTTTTGAAACATCAATAGATCGTACTCGACAGTGGTTCGATGTATCGTTTGGTTCAAAACAATTGAACATAACCTCAAACAAAAATTTTAGGATTTAACTCGGAAAAGCTGAAAATAATAAAATTCCTAACATTTTCATTTGGTACTCGAGAGAATAAAAATTCGATTACGTAACACCCGTTACCTTAGATTTCTAAATTGACTTTTGAGGCTGTGTTTACATATTGCACAAATCGATATCAATATAATCTCACGTGTGTGATCTGTCGAATACGATCTATAAAAACCATCAAGTGAACGTGCCGATGGAGGAGGGGTGTATGAGACGCGTTTACTCGTGTTGGGTACATTTTTTGTGAAAGCCCTGTCAACAGTAACAAAAGTTCAGTTCTGTAAATCCATCCCTGTTTTAACAAGGCCTTCCATTTATAAAAAAACGTACGAAAAAATTATGAAAGAACAAACATAAATGTGGTTAATAATTTTAACTTCCGCCGCTGCCCGACCGCACTGTGTTGGTGCAATGCGTGAAGTATTCATGCAGTCTTGTAGGCGCTATGCGTTTCTTGTCAACTGCTGCTGACCGCAGAGTGTTCGACGCAATGCGCGAAGTATTCACGCAGTCTTGTGGGCGCTATGCGTTTCATGCCGACCGCCGCGCCGCTCCGGTCAAATTGCTTGTTTGGTTTCTCTCTTAATAACTCGACTAATTAAAGGTGTTGTCTCTTGTGTCACCGAAAGACGACAAAATTAGAAGTTACTATACTTTTACTCTCAAGAAATGAGAGATTTTGTCGCCTTTTCTCGTTTGTAATTTATTTACTGAATCCAACTTTTTTCTCTCTTTTTTTTTGATACCAACATTCAAAAAGATTGCAAAATTTGCCGCCCCCTACATTTTGCCGCCATGGGCCGCGGCCCGTGTGGCCATCCCCTTGATTCGGCTCTGCAGGGAAGTCTCAAAAGTGTCGGAATTCAGAATTAGTTCCTGGAATGGGAGCACTGCTAATTTGTACTGCTCCAACAAGTTATAATACAACTCCAATAAGTTTGCTGCACAGGCACAGTGCCAATAAGTTTGTAAACCTATGATGAAAGATAGACGAAAGGTAGCAATTACTGTTCATCCAAAATTCATCACAAAACGCTAATTTGAGTGTTGAAGGGGTCGAGTAATGCGTCACTCTTTTGGGTGGTGAGGGGGGTGGGGGTGTAGACCTGCGTTACAAATGCGTTGTAAAGGGAAAAGGGGAGTAAAAATCCCATTACCAGGGTTACGAATGTCATGAACGGCCCCCACGTTTTCAGAGGAGCGCGCTGAAGTATAGTTTCCTACGTCATAGAACGCATCGGGCATCGCGTCAGCGTTCCCGGAAAAGATCTTTTTTCTGCAACTCACGATGACCGCCTGGAAAGCGCGCGACTCTTGCAGAGCGCGGCGCTATCAATAGGATGTATTTATGCTGAAAGGGAGGAAGGTGCACAGGGTTTGTGTGCAACATAGCTCCTTTTAGCATAAATACGTCCAATACAGTGACCTCGCAACTCGGAACTCCAATTTTTCATCGGAAAAGTCGATTAACTAGGTAATTCTTCTTAAGCCGACTGTTTGCTCTGATGGAGTGATAATTAGACGTGTGGATGCGAGCCGTAATCTGTTTCTGGGAGACTTACGACAACGATACGTCTGTTGAGAAAACTTAATTGGACTACATTTTGCATGGAGGAACTACTGCTTATTCTGATTCATCAATAGAGGCACTCACCTGCATAGAAAAACCTATGGCACTTGCTTCGTCAGTAAAATAAGCCAGAAAAAGCCCGTAAGTCCGCAACCACATATCTCGTTCGCGGAGTTTGAAAATATCCGCCTCTATATTATTTTTTTATTAAAGGAGAAAAAATTGACACCATTCCTTGAAGTTTTTGCAGAATTTTCTTTGGCACAGGGAAGAAAAATCACGAAAGTCTTAAAGAATTGCCGTTTAGTATTTTTCCGTTTAAAAAGTAAAGTATGACCGGAAGTCTGCGACGTCGCAAACCGAGATACGTGGTTGCGGACTTACACAGTCAGTGGCGTGGCGTGAATGATCGATTATCGATATATCGCCATTTGAAGCTATGGTGAAGACTTGATAATTAAGGTGTTCGAACACCCTGTTTATCGATCCTTTCTCATAGGTTTAAATGGCGAAGCAATCGATATATCGCAAAGCACGCCACGCCACTGATAGTCGATATAGTCAAATTCAAGCGGAGAGTGCAGGTCGGTGTTCATATAGAAACGCGAATCACTACACAACGTAAGTTTCATCTTCATTTGCGGGTATATTTTACTTCTTCTCATTCATTATTTCGCAGTTATTAATCTATAATTTCTATTGTCACAGCGATATGATGGAACTCAAGGTGATATACTCCGTCGTATTTCTTCTTCTGCTTAGTTCTTACCCCAAACGAAACTTAGATAACACACCAAAGTATCGCAAACCACGACTGATGACTTGGTGTACTTACCAATCAAATTTTTAATCTAAGAACTATTTTAAATTTTCATGCTTGAGTAAACTATACGAGCGTCTCCGGTTTCCGAAATTCAACAAACCCAATTTCACACCGAACAACACCAGAATCGGTTCAAGTTAGAGGTGGCAAAGAGGAAGAGAGGGTCTCTACGCCCCCCTCTTTGCACTCTTTCGAGAGTGTGAGATCAATTTAACAAGTAAAGAGCAAAAGGGCTAACTTCTTCACTCCGTAACAAACTCGGGCCTCCGACCTATCGCTAATCGAAATAAATAGATTCATCGCAAATTCGTCGATCCTTTGGCTCGGTGTGTACGAAGCACATTCGATGTAAGAAGCGAATCGAATTTTGACTCGTGGTCCGTATCGCACTGCATGGTTGTGACATCGCCCGAAGGAAGCGTGTTTTTGATGATAATTCATGGGAGGTGGTTATGTTCAGCAGGAAACCGGCAATGGTGGAGTTAAGTGATTAAGGCTACGAAATATACGTTGGAAGTTCGGCAATTCATTTTGTGGGCATAATTAAAATAAACCTATTAGCTTTGCGGGGCACCGAATTCGGGCAGGCCCGAACCTAGGATGTTTCGCTCCTGCCGCACAGTGGATCAAATTTAGCGCACGCGCAATCGAAAGACAAAATTTCTGCAATTCAAGTAACCCGATGCTAAAATCATGCAGAGCTTACAATATTTGGGGAATACCAAAAACTAAAATCAGAGTCACATAATGAACTCTAATAAGTATCAGCGCAAGACTGAGACTGTGGAAGTCTCCACTTATTTTCGCCACAGTGGCGTTTAAAACATAGACACCTCCATTTCTACTGCCATTTCTACGAGCCTTGTCTGGTCGCGCACTGTCCGCTGACTTTTTCCTACCCCAGCGTTAAAGTCTTCGCCCATCCTCACACAATCTGGCATCCAATACGCCTTCATTTCTATAAATATGCAATGCGGGTGTCCACTAAGCACAAATAGATGTACATATGCGTTATTTGGTTGTGTACCATCCACTAACTTTTTCCTATCCTGGCGTTGAAATCACTTCCTAACCCGGCGTTTCCTCTTCCACGGAGTATTTGGTAGATTCTCACAGCTCCAAAAAGGGTACTCGGTGGAATTTTCCAGTGCTAAAAGGGGATCTGGGGGGTCTCCCGGAATATTTTAAAGGATTGAGTCTTTTCAGGAGCAATTATTGAGCTGCTTTTTTCAACAAATTGATCGATTTATTTCAAACAGAAAAGATATGCTACACACTTGTGTAGCAAATTCTCTCCCATTTTTTGAAAAGTGCTAACGGTAAAATACGATGGAATGCTGCGGGATTTTGCCTTAATATTCAGAGTAATTTCGGAGTCAGTAAGTTGAAATTATTTAGCCAACTTGCCTTAAGAATGCAGAAAACTGAAAATTTCATTACAGAGGGGAAAAGCTCATCCGAGCACAACTTTCCTTCTAAGAGATACGCTGATTGGCGCAACACTAGTTACGATAATTTAGGAAGGTAACTGCAGACGCGTTTCGTGTCTAAGTGGACCCATCATTGTCGTAACTAGTGTTGCACCGAACAGCGCATCTCTTCGAGGGAAAATTCGTCGCCTACCTGACATAATGTCGTAACTACACTCTGTAATGAACTTTGTCTTCCATTCAATTCAATGCTTTTTCAGGCTCATCTCAATGTGTAGTTACGCCCTTATGTCAGCCAAGGGAGGAATTGTGGTCGAATTAGCTTTTTCCCCTCTGTGTTGAATTTTCCAGTTTTCTGGATTTTAGTGCACGTTGACTAAAAAATTTAAGCGACTCGTGCGTCTAGCGCAATCAGTTTGAGACTTTCGGAGTGTATACGTCTCCAGAGGACGCGCTGCGCGTCTGCGTGTGCGGCAGACGCTATAGGAAAAGGGCGAAGAGCGGGGAAGTATTGCAGGAGAGGCGCTGTTGTGTAAAGTCCAAGCGCCAAAATTGACGTATTAGGTTAAAACCATCAGGCGGAGATGTGCCCGTAATGGTAATGGAAATGCATTTGCAGGGGACGCCTCCCGTGCAATTATCTCAAAGACCCTCCTTGGCCTCTGGTGGTGACGTCCTCGCGGCTCACTCGCGCGTTTGCTCCCGTTCGAGGTCTTCTTCTTCGCCCATCATTCTTCTTTTTCTATTATTTACGCAGCCAAGGGTGGGGGTGTGCCGCCCCAGTATATATACCAACTCGTGTCTTTCCTCGGCCTTATTGTTCGTCCATTTTTACGCACTTGTAAAGTTCTTCGTACTTTAGCTCTCGAACCCAGGTTTACTTACAAAATGGCCATCAAGGTAAGCCTCGAACGTGTGTTCCTCCCAGTTGAACTACATTTTGCAATAAGGAACTAATATTTCGGGCTCATTTTAGAAAAAAACCCAAGTGGTCTTAGTGCTTCCTTGCCTTCGCCTCCTTCCGCTACTCCTCGTTCCTCTTCTTCTTAATTTTCTTCGTTTTCCTCCTCTTAGTTTTCCTCGTTGTTTTCATTTTCTTCTTATTCCTCTTCATTGTTCTCTGTTTTCCTCTTCTTGTCTTTCGTGTCTCTCCTTTTCCATCTCTTCTTTTTCCTCCTCTTCTTCCTCCTCTTATTTTTCCTCGTTTTTCTCATTTTCTTCTTATTCCTTATTATTGTTCGCTTCCTTTCTCTTCTTGTCTTTCCTATTTTCCCTCTCTATCCTCCTCTTCTTCTTCCTCTTGTTGATTGTCCTCCTCTGGATGAGCCCGAAATGATATTTCCATATTTCAATCTGCAGTCCAATTCATTCCTCTCCTAATAATCGTGGTTTTTCGATGAGTTTTTGTGTTGTGTCCTCCGCTTTTTGTAATTTCCACGAATCTGAGTTTTTGAGTTTCGGTGTGCTCCGCTATTTCTGGAAACTGTGATTCAAGTGGACGGTGACTAACGCTCGGACGGTTCGAAGCACTCCTCAAGACGCAAGGATTAAAGTTCTTGACACTTTTACGCGAGGTCATGGACCAAGTGAGCCTTAAGTGAATTTTCCATCGGACTGATTAAAAAATGCATTTGAGTGCGTTAATTGTCTTACGAACGCCACTTAATCTACGTTGTTATTTAAAATATCACGCGAATATGATGCGGAAAATTTACACTGGGCCTCCAATTTGAATTGAGTTGCTGGACTTGCTTATATTTTCGGCGCTTTTTCATCGATTCCTCGAAATTAATTGTATGGAATAAACGTATCTGACCTTCTCATCGGTATTTGTCGCGGCTCTTTTTTCTTCTTTGCCCGTCTTTACTTATGACGTTTTGTTTAACCTAGACCCAACTAATACGATCGTTGCTGGTGTGTCATTAAAGTGAATATACGTTCATTGTAAGTAGCCGAGACGTTGGTGAGAAATTTGTAGGGCAAATAAATTTATCGGATTTTTTAGATAAATTGTCACAAGTTCTGAGCTAATTTTCGTTGGAAATTCTTCAGGAGGCGCGCGATGTGCATTCTTCGGTGAGTCGTTCGGCTTTTTATGACCAGTAATTCTCGTGAGTTATTTTAAAGACAGGGGACCCTCCGTTTGAACCTTGCGTTTAAGTCACTGATCCTTCACTAGTTTAACAATGTATGACACTGCAAATACTTTATATAGGCTGTGGCATCCCATGGCAGGAATTTCATCCCAAATGTGGAATTTCAAGCGGCAGTACATAGTTTTATTTTTTTCATACAAGGTATCGTGGCAGAAAGAACATTTGAGTTAAAATCTCGATCGAGTTTTAAATTTTTATCTAGATTTCTGTATGGAACAGATGAGCTGTAAAGGTCTTTGGCATTTTCAGACTTCTATATCAACATCACATTACGCGCTATATGTTGAGCTAGGTCACCTCGAATTGCTTATTTTTTGAACTACTATCTATGCCTCATGAATTTTTGTGAAATCAATTGAAAATAAAACCGAGAATTTTTTTTGTAAATGTGTCATTTCATGAAACTGAAACATCCAGTGAGATGAATTTAATTTTTCCTGTTTCAATTTGTGTAGATATCATATCATGCCATACCATCACTATCGGTCGAATGCATTGATCACCACGTGTGTAATGCTAATATGTCCAGCTCCTTGCCTTTTTTACGTGCACGTGTGGTTGGTTTTAATGTATAAAAACTTTAAGAAATCCAAACTTTTATTATAATTGAAATTTCCCGAAGATAGTTACGCCTTCATCAAAAGTATCAGTTCATCAGCTTTTTTTTATTTTATTTTAAAGAAATCCAAAATACATTTCTTTGAAAATCATTCTACTTAGGCTGGAAAAAAGCGTGACTCAGAATGAGAAGCATTGCAAACTTCTCGCTCTCAGGGTTTGCGTTTGTGACGCTCACTTGAAAAGTTTTGAATAATATCCGCGTATATAAATTTTGTTTTCCAATTTTGAATCCCTTGGCTATTCTGACATTTTTAAAAATATGCTGAATTTACTTGAATTCTTTTAAATTTTACATAATCTTTGATTCCATCTGCAGTAGTACGAACAATCTATTTTTATTCTCTTTGCACTGCTGATGTTCAAGAAGTCAAAAAGATTCATCCGCCTTCAATTCTACTTTTTCACATACAAAGCAGTACATAAAGGTGTCCTAAGAGGAAGCTTTGCCTTTTCAGGCATCTTTAGTGGCCTGTAAATGTCCGTGAATTTCTCAACATTTTGAAAGCCTTAGAGCAATTTTTAGAGGTCTTTGAAAAGCCTTGGTTTCCCGCTTTGAAAGTCCCATGAAAGTTTTTTACTTTGATTTTGAAATTTTATTCTAGACTCTAAATTGCTTTAAACATGTTATTTTTCAAAAAAAAAAAAATAAATAAATAACCTAGGCAGCCAGGAATTCTGTTCGGCTGATTTTCATTAACTTTGTTGACAAATCCGTAGAAATTTTAATTAGATCTCTTAATGGAGATGTTGCATGTGTGAGGAATTTGCGATTTGACTGTTGATTCTAGTGTAACAGTTTGCGAGGAACACAATGGTGCCACTCGTTTTCTCTGAAATCAACTACCAAGCTCAAAAAAAGCTCTCAAGTTGAGGCCAAAATGGAGGGGATATCCCACGCTACCCTGAGAGTCCACATCCACACCAAGACAAACTCTCTATGCAAAGATAGGGAGCAAATACATTAGCAGTGATGCCGTGTTTTCAGTTTTAGAGTCCCCAAATAAAGTAGCAGTCCTGTCAATGTGTTTGCTCCCTATCTTTGCATGGAGAGTGTGTCTTGATGTAGAGATGGACTCTCAGGACAGCGTGGGATATCCCCTCCATTTTGGCCTCAACTTGAGAGCTTTTTTTGAGCTCGGGAGTTGATTTCAGAGAAAACCAGTGGCACCATCGTGTTTCTCGCGAACTTTTACGGAAGAATTTATTGTCAAATCGCAAATTCCTCATACATGCAACATCTCCATTCCTGCTCTTTATCTTCATCGCTACTGTTGTTTAATCCTTGTGGATCATTTCCTTTCAAGCTCCTCCTCCTTGCAACCGTGGTCGCTGTCGCCTCCGCCCAAGTGGTCTACCCCGGCTACTCCGGCTACCCAGGCGTGCTGCCCGCCTACCACCCTCCCGGCGCCTACCCGCCAGTAGCCCCCGTAGCCCCTGTCGCCCCAGTCGCCAAGGTGGACCCGTACCACGACCCGAACCCCTCGTACAGCTTCGCCTACGATGTGAATGACGTCACGACGGGAGATTCGAAGAACCAACAGGAAACTCGGCAAGGAGATGTCGTCACTGGAAGCTACAGTCTCACCGAGCCTGACGGCAGCAGAAGGACAGTCGAGTACACGGCTGACCCGGTCAACGGATTCAACGCTGTAGTTCATAAAACGCCCGTCGGCGCTCCGATCGCCCCTGTTGGCGCCCCTGTCGCCCCTGTTGCGCCCAAGGTAGTCGCTCCCGTACCTGCACTCCCTGGTTACCCTTACGCCCCCAGGTACGTTGCTCCCGCGCCTTACGCCCCATACGCACCCTACGCCCCACCTTACTATGGTTAGATAACGTAGTTTGTTAATTTTTTAGGTTAGTTTTTAAGTCTTGATACTCACCTTCGTGTACAAATATATGTGTCTTTTTGTTGAAAAGTGGTTTTATCTTTATTTTATCGTCTCTGATCAACGCTGACATCCAATTACATTTTTGTTTGAATTTTTCTAAAGAGCATTCATTATTGTTTGTGATTACAATTGATGCAATTTGTGATTTTATATTTCAGTAGGCTTCGTTTTTGGACAAAAATGACAAAAAAAGCTCTGATGAGCAAATAATTCGCATAGTATTTTCATTTTTAAAGGTGTCAACGTATTCTGCTTAGTGATAATTATTTATACTCGAGGGAATTCGCTGCAGCTCTTTAGCCATTTGATAAGAGATATTCTGCAACTTACGCTATCAATGACTATACAGAAAATACTAGGGGGCTACGCCCCCTGGCCGCTACGCGGCCCAACCCCCTGAAGGCGCTCCGCGCCATCAATGGGCCGCTTCGCGGCCCTATTTTTACCCTCCTATCAGTGTTAGTTTTATTTTTCCCCTAAACAATTACGATATGAGGTATACTTTAATTTTAAACTTTACTTAAAATTACTTTAAAATTAAAAGGACGCGTTTTGGAATGACTGATTGATGAAATATTGCAGTAAAACAATGAACAATGATAGTCAGGTAATATTTAAAGTTTCATGAGTCGGGGATCGAACCTACGCCGAATTCAAAGTGGACGCATTCGATGTCTTAGACGACTCGGTCACCGCTCGACGTGAGGGTTTGGATGCGAATCTTGTGTAGATAAGTGTAGAGCTGATGCGCAGGCTACACAGCTACTGCGCA